TAGACTATCGCCTATACAAATGGCTACTTTCGATTTCCTCACTTTCGTATTTTCTTTTTGTTAAAACATTATTGTGACTCTTTGTAAGATGCTCACTTGTCTAATGCAGCCATTTTTCTCCTTGACAATTAATTGGTAGCCGTCTTAGACCGTATAAACTATAATTTGAAGTGTCCCCTATTTGATATCTAGAAAGTATGTACCTAAAAGAGGCCTATACCCACAAAATACATGTACAGTCGAAATTCTCAGGGAAGACGGCAACGCAATGTCAAGAAGGAAATTGTCTGTCTTAGACAGGTGGGCGTTCTACACAGTGTCTTAATTATGCTTTTATTTTTAAAAAAGGACACGGGGGCGGAAATGGGAAGCGGCCGTTTGTACGTATTGTTGTCTTTATACAAGTAGCCGTTAGAGCAGTTTTGACTGTTTTTAAACTTTATCGTGTGGGTGGTTGGCGCATGTTCTGGAGCGGTGTGCCACTTCTTTCATATCAAACATCTGTCGTCCATATCTCTCCTCCTTTTTTTGCGTTTGTCCCTCCCTCAATCGTAATATCTCTACAAGTCGGGACTTACATGACATAAATGTGTTGTAAATTCCTTGAGACTCTTGATACAACGAAACTAAACTTTATTGCTCCTGCTGAACAATCAGAAATTAACACAATCTGCTTAGCTCAGACTACCATTATTACAATTCTTCTCCTGCACGACTCCCACACAAGCAGCGTGCAAAATGTAAATCTATCTTAATCCCGTTGAGCGTGTCAAATTGTGATGCCGCTTCAAAATGTCTTAGCGGAAACGTTTAAATTGAGACTGTACAGACGCGTGTGTTAATTCAATATGCCAATTGTGTGGAAGCGCAATAAAATGAGGCGCTCGTCAAAATATTGAAATAGAAGAAACCGACATTTTCCCGAACATTAGGTAATTTTAGCAGTTTTTATGAGCACCGGGGGTGGAGGGGGGAGGGGGGACTCACCACCATTGATGTCCATTAAAAAGTGTATTTCTGTTTCGATTTTGCTGAAAATCGTTGATCAAAAGCGCAAAAATGTAAACGTGCAGTTTCCAAGGAAACAACAGATTTGAAAGTCATCAAATTTTAGAGTCCATTTCCTCGCTAATCTTATCTCACACACCTGATGACCCCCATTTTTTTCAATTGCAAATATCTCGGTTTCTATTATAGATGGATGGGATTTTTTTTTCATCTAAACCAAGACAAATGAACATGCTTTAAGATTATACCGATAACTTCATATGTCCAAATATTAACGAGCGCCTGATTCCACCGCATCGTGACACAATTTTTCTTCTTGGAAACTGGCCGTGTCATGGAGAGACGAGGTAGTTAAGGTAAGTGCTAGGGTTTAACGCCCCCTTACAACCCTGTTGTGTTATATAAGACACACAGAATTTAATGTCATCTCTGATAGGTCCAAGCCAAATGGGTTGAGATCCGTGAAAACTCCACAAAACGACTCGAGTTCAAGAATGTCCAGATGAAGATTCGGACTAGGGCTGGCTCTCAGTAATCAGGCATGACATATTAACTGAACAGACGGAGCTCCCAGAGATCAGCTAGTTAACAGGAGGGGGGGGGGAGTAGAGCAAAAAACTAACACTCTTTTTCTTTTGACTTCACAAAAAAATCAATTTGAACGGTTTATTCTTCTACAGCTTGTAAGGGAATTTTTAGAGTGACTTCTGAGAAAGAAAGGCGGTAAAAGACCAAGATAAAGGTAGAAAGGTCATCCTCCTTATTCGGAAGGAAAAAATTGCAGTGGGCTGAGCGACAGCTCATTAATTCGCTACTTTAGAATTACAAAGTTCTATCTGACATTTTTGGCCGTCTTAAGTTACTAAAATCCCTGACATCAGAAACCAAATGTCCTCTCTGCTCTATCAAAATCATGAGATTATTCGAAGCAATTATCAAGATATTCAAAGAACTGCGTTCGAAAAAGCTTGACCTATTGTGAAACTCATTATTTACGTCATATTTCTCAAAACTAGGTACTGGGCAGATCGAATTTTGTAATTCTGGGGTAGCGAATTCTTATCTCTGCAGTGCATAATATCCAAACTGTAGCTGTGTGCTCCACTGAAGACAATATGATTACTTGATGACTCCTTGGCGCTATTAGTTTTTTTCCAGGAGTTAATCACTCCACTTTAATCTATCTTTCTCTAGTTTTTTTACATTATTTCATGTCTTTCCAAATGTGTTGGTGGCTCTTTAAATGGTACTATACATAGTGGCTTTAATTTTAAAGAATATTAACCTTACTGAACTCTACCAACTCAAATCTTCCTACTTTAACTTCGTCACATCTTCTTCACAACCTTTCGCGGAATTGAAAAGAAACCTACGTCATGATTCATTTATGTTATCAGGAAGGAGAAAATCCAACAAAAGCCTGATAGAATGTTTTGTTTTTTTAAGGTAGAGGGGTATCGTTTAAGGAGATAACTGTCAGAATGTCAGCTAGTTTGTTTTGCTCAGTGAGAACCCAGTAACTTCAAACTTCAGAACAGTCGACCAGAGGATTTTTAAAATTTATGTGTATAAGAGAGAGAGAGAGAGA